GCTCTGTGCTTCCTACCTTTGATTTGTTGTCCATCTAATATCCCCCCTGCCATCATGTTGGTTACTGTTCTGATTTTCTTCGTCTCTCTTCTCATTGCTCTCCACCTAGCCATTTCAAAAACCGGATACCGTAGCCAATGGCCTTACTTCATGTTTCACAGAGGAATCAAGGTCGTTCATTGAGCAAGGCCTCAGTATTCCTCCTGAAGAGAACAAATTTAATTCATTTGTACAGTTGCTTTTTCCTCCTCCTGACCTGTTTCAGTGAAAGGACTACGCATTCCCCTATACAGGGCTGATTCTTCCATCTGAGCTTTGAATCCCATTTCTTCTGCCTACCTTGAGCACCCCCCCTTTAAAAAATATTTTGTTTATTTATTTTTAGAGAGAGGGGAAGGGAGGGAGAAAGAGGTGAGAATATGTAAGAGAAACATCGATCAGTTACCTCTCTCATGCCCCCAGCTGGGGACCAGGACTGCCACCTAGGCATGTGCCCTGACCTGGAATTCGTTTGGTAACCATTCTGTCTGTGGGATGACATCCATCCCACTGAGCTACACCAGTCAGGGTGAGCAACCCTTTATTTCAACTGTCTTTTGCCTCTCTTTTTTTCTGCTGGCTCTTTTCCCTTCAGCATAAATTTCTTGACTGTATAGCCTTCTAGATATGTGTCTTTCTTTTTACATTTACCAATTTCATGAAAAAATAATGGTCCTCGTCTATCTTCACTGTTCTATCCTTTCTAAATCAGGACTTCTCAGTTGGAATATTATTGGCATTTTGAGTCAGATAATTTTTTTCTTGTGGGGGACTGTTCTGTTAATTGTAGGATGTTTAGTAGCATCCCAGGCCTCTATCCACTAGATGCCAGTAGCATCTTCCCAGTTGTAACAATGAAAAATAGCTCTAGACATTGTCAAATAACCCTTGTGGGTCAAAACCAACCCCAAATAAAAACTTCTGTTCTAAAGTATAGGACAGTTGCTGAAGCTGCTCTCATTTACAGATCTCCTTATTGCCAAACTAATAGACATTCCATATTCTTGATCACCCACTTTGATATTGAAACTCTTTAAGAAATGTTTTTTATTTACTGATTTGAGAAGGAGGGAGGGAGGGAGGGAGCCAGGGAGGGAGAGAGAGAGAGAGAGAGAGAAACATTGATTTGTTGTTCCACTTATTCATGAGTTCATTGGTTGATTTTGTGTGTGCCTTGACCAGGGATGGATCCCCGACCATGACATATGGGGTTGATGCTCTAACCAACTGAGCCACCCTTCTGGGGAAGAACTCTTTTTGTTATTTGGCTTGTTACCTACTTTTCTAGTTTTTTTGTTTCTTTGCTCTGGTCCATCCCTATCCTTCTGGAACTTCTTTTCATTCTTCAACTCTTAAAATATCAGACTGCTCTGCATGTCTGTTTCTTCTCCCTTATACTCTGGGTGAACTTAATTCATAATTTTTGTGTTAGGTATCACATATAAGTTGAGCCCAAATCATGTCTTTAGCCCAGACCTCTCTCCTGAGCTCCAGACCCACATATCCAACAATTGACTGGAATCTCTTCTTTGGGTAAATGTTAGACACCTCAAACTTAACTTGCCCAATATAGAAATAATCATTTTCTTTCTCTCAATCTCTTTTTTCCTGCTGCCCCAACCAGAAGTCTCAAATCAAAAAAGTTGCATTTTGCAAACTGCGTTTCTTTCTTGAATGGCACCAACATCCCCTACATTCATTAGTTATTCAGTCTTCTTATCTCTTGAATATGTCCCTTCTCATTCTCATTTCCACCACCCTCCTTACCTTTTACCTGCCATTCCAACTGGTCTTCTCTCTTCTACTCTTGTGCCTCTCAACACGCTCTCTATTTTGCTTATATAAATGCGATCTCTAATAGTCAAATCAGGTTGTTAGTCCTCTTATTGATTTCCCTTAATGGCTTCCCATAGTTTTAAGTATAAATTAGGACAAACTTCTTATCTTAGCAAAAACAACCTTACTTAATGATTTTTATCTACTTTTCTTCCCTTGCCTCTTGATAGTTTCCCTGGATGACACATTCAGTAGCTCCTATTAGAGAGTTTGCTTCATGCTATTTCAGGTACAGGATTTTGTATCTTAGCATGTGCTCATCTTACTGCCTGGAATGCCCAGGCCTTTTTATTTCTTTAACTGTCTTTATTAATGTTGCTAATTTTACTTTAAACATCACCTACTCTTGGATTTACTACAGTGTTCCATCTTTGTGTTCTCAGCATACTATTGCACCATCTTATCCCTTCCACTTTATAGTGTAGATAATGAATTTGCTTTCTGGGTCTGGTAAAACATAGCCAGTAAAGCGGTGGTTATGTATTTAGTACTCACAGTGCCCAGCACAATGTCTAGCACATTGTAACTACTCCATAAGTATTTATTAAACAAATGAATACTAAAGACACAAAAGAGTGAGACTGGTGCAGAGTATGGACAGAAATGGATCAGTTTTCAATCTGAGATATTTCTGAGGCTGAAATGGAAGGATTGATGGATTGATGAGAGGTAGGGAATGAGGAAGAGAGAATAGTCAAAGATGACTTTTAGGTTTCTGGTTAGATGACTTGGTCCTGTTGACTGAGACAGGAAAGACCAAGATGGATTGGGTATAAATACAATATACCTACATTAATTAATTAATTAATTAATTAATTAATTAAGGACATGATGTGTTAGAGATACCAATGGGAGATTAAAGTGGAAATGACATATCTAGTACAGTTAGCCATATAGGTCTAGATCAGTCAGCACTGTCCAAAAGAAATACTGTGTGAGCTACAAATGTAATTTCCTGTAGCCATACTTTAAAAAGTAGAAGAAATGGTTGAAATTAACTTTAATAGTATATTTTAATTAACTCCAGGATTTCTTATCTATATTATTAACATTTTGGGCCAGGCAATACTTTGTTGTGGAGTGCTATCCTGTGCATTGCAGTACATTTAGCAGCATCCCTGGCCTCTTTGTTAGTAGATGCCAGTAGCCACACACTCTGACCTAAGTTGTGACAACCAAAATGTCTCCAGATATTGCAGAATGTCCTTGGGCAGGGAGGTGGGGGAGCAAAATCATCCCTGCTTGAGGACCACAGATTTAACCCAATATATCCATGATATTATTTCCATATGTAATCAATATTAAAATTTATTGAAGTTTCACAAGTTTTTGTATTGTATCTTTGAAATCGAGTATATATTTTTCACTTACAGCATTTTTCAATTTGTATAAGCTACATTTCAAGTGCTCAGCAACTACATGTGGCTGTGCCTACTTTATTGAGGAGCACCAGTTAAGAGCTTTTGAAAAAAAACATTGGGTCTGGAAATATAGAAAATATAGGTCTGGAAACAAAGTTTTAGAAATTATGAGTCAATAACAGTTAAACCCATGGCAGTAGATAAGATAGTCCGGGCAGAATTTGTATTTAGAGGGAGAAAGAGGATTGAGGAAAAAATCTCAATCCAATGCTTTTCCAGTTTCCACACAGAATCTATTGGGTTGGCCAAAAAGTTTGTTTCATTTTTTTCCATATGATAGCTCTAGTAGCACTTTGTTGTCTTTATCTTTATTTGAAACAATTTTGTTAGGTTGCATTGTGACAGCTGTCATATAAGCATATATTAAAAAAATCAAAATTGGTGAATTTTTGTATAGCCATTTTTATATTGAAGATGGAAGAAAATACATGACATTTTTGGCATATTATGCTTTATTATGTCAAGAGAAGTAAAAATGCAACTGAAATGCAAAAAAAAATTATGCACTGTATGGAGAAGGCTCTGTGACTGATCAAACATGTCAAAAGTGATTTATGAAGTTTTGTGCTGGAGATTTCTTGCTGGATGATGATACTCTATGGTTGGGTAGACCAGTTAAAGATGATAGCTATCAAATCGAGGCATTAATTGAGAACAGTCAACATTATACCATGCAGGAGATAGCCATTGTATATACTCAAAATATCCAAATTAATAGTAATTGGTGAAAATAAAAAATGTGTCTTTTATTTTATAGAAAAACCTAAATGGACCTTTTGGCCAATCCAATCCTACCCTTTCTTCCTAGTATTGTAAAATATTTTCCTTACTGAACAAAATGGAGAACACAAATGAACAAAAGAAAAGAGTATTGAAAGTTGATGACAAAGGGAGAGAATTAATGTTTATTGAACACTTAATTGGCAAATAATGTTTGAAACATTATGTATAAACTGTCTTATTTAATCTCGCAAGAACCCTTTGAGGTAAATAGTGTTATCTCAACTTATAGGGAAGGAAACTAAGCATTTTTTGGTGGTGGGGGGGCGTTTAGATTGGGGTAATTGACATACACTTATTTATTGTTTATTTATTTAAAAGAGATTTATAAAGGTCTAGTACATCACTGGAATTTGAAAGGAAGACTGATTCCAAAGCCTACATCCTCTTAATGCACATAATGAATCATTTGTTGATTTTTCTAAAATAATTATGAAAGTGTGTGTGATTGTACAGCCAGTTCCCATGATATCTGTGACCACTTTTGACTTGGTTCTGGAAGCAAATTCGTCTTAATAGTGAGGTGCCATGATATCTGTCATTAGCGAGTGTGACTTGAGTATCATTTGTTGTGAAAGACACTAAACAATGATGTTTTTTAATTGTACCGTAAGTATGGTCAATAATTCGCCGTTGTAATTTTTAGTTACGAAAAATTAGCTACGATGTAGTGAGTATTTTGATTAAATATTGGACGCACAAGCACCAAGGAAAATAAAATAGTGTAATAAGCTTCCTAACACAGCTCTGTTTCACGAACAAACCGATAAAGCGAGCACAAAGGGGAGGATCGGAGAAGAAGGGGCGGGGCAGTGAGAAACAAGGATCTGAGCAAGCGCAGAAACAAACAGATGTTCACGGAGGCGTGAAGGCTACAGCGCTCTCACTTTCCGATCTGTCGTAAAGCCGCGGAGTGTCGTGCTCGCTCGGTAGAGGAGGGATTGGTAAGGCGGCGGCAGCAGCAGAACAGCAGCAGCGGCGGCGGCGGTGGCGAGGTGTTAGGTCTGCGCAGCACAGCAACGCCCACAGCTTCGGGGAAGGAGTTCCTGTGGGACTAAATTAGGCATTCTAAACCCAAACCGGGTGAGCTGGGCCGAACCAGACGTTGCCGTTCGCACAGTTTTGGTGGCGGTGACAGTCGCTGCTCTTGACTATAGGGGCCTATTAGGCCGAGAATCTGAATCGAAGATCACTGGCTCTACACACATCCTCTTCCACCCTTCTGTCTCCTGTCTTCCTTCCTAAGCCAGCGATTCCAGGACCCTGGGAAGAGGGTGGCTAATGATTAAGGTGAGGGGGGTCAGGGGGTAGGGGATCGATTAGAGGCCGCGCGTGCGCGCCACGGGGGAGGGGCCGGCCTGGAGGGGAGAAAGAGGAAGGGCTGCGGCGGCGGCAGGCTGGGGTCGGCGACCGGCCGGTTCTTGCTGGCTGCGTTTTGACTTAGGGTCTGGGTCTCCGCAGATTTGATTTTGTTTGAGCAAAGCATTCGTCTAGAGACACACCCACACCCCACACAGGAAGTGAGTGTGGGCGAGGGGATTTCTTTTTTGACTCTCCCTATAGTCTTAGGATGGGGGCTGAGGACCGAGGCGTGGGAGTGCGATTTGACAATGGAAGTGGTGAAGGTAACCCACTCCCGGGGTGCTGGAGGGCCTAAGTCAACAGTGACGGTTGGGGAGTTGCCTTCCTGAGCGATCAAGGACCGTAGTCCGCGGACCAGCAGAAATACGGACGCCTGAGATTTTGTGGAGTTGGCCTTGGTCATTCAAAAAGAAGCTTGGTATTTTTATTGTCTTTAGATAATTTATCAGTCAGTGGCAATGCTATAGTGGAAATAGCTGTTTTATACTGGAGAAATAGTTTTCACAATAGTTGTCAAGTAGGTTATAGTAAATCCTTACAGATACTTTTTAACGCAAGTCTAAGTTTTAACATTTAAGGAAATACCAGAAAGTATAGGGCATTCACTTAATTTGTTTGTGTTTGTGGTGCGGAGTGACTCCATTGAATTGTATGCTTTCCTGTTTCATGATTTATATGCAGGACTCTGGAGTGGTAAGATGCCAGCTAACCCAGACTTTATAGTTTTTGAACCTGTCAATCCAAACTTTATTTGGTATTTTATGTTTAATTTTGTTTTAGGGACCTCTTGAACCAAAAGAACAGACTGGGGAAAAGATAAGCTACAGTTTCATTTCCTTTCCCATTTTTGTTTATCATCGCTTTCAAATATTAGAATGTAATTTCATTATTACATAAAAAGTTCTGTGATACTGGATATTTTTTAGTAAAAATTTTCATATCATTATAAACCATGTTGTTTTTCCATACTAAAGAGTCTTTGGTTGTGTTTGTTAGACAAAACAGGATGAGAAAGAAGTCTTTTATACTTTAGAGTATAAAAGGCATCTTAATTTTTTTTCAAGTTTTGGATTATTTTACTTTAGTCTATCTGTTGTCATTCAGCCTTGGTAAAAAAAAAAAAAATGAAACTTTGTTTACTCCTGGTAATTAATGCTCTTTAAATCATCCTGAATAATTTTTCTTTCAGGAACCTGTGATCATTGTTCAGTAAAAGTCCAGAATTACACTGAAATGCCTTACACCTCTGTTCTTTCTTTCCTGCATGCCACAGATTCTTGATAACTTCTGGCCCAGGTTTCTACAGGTACTTGATTTAAACCATTACATGAGGAGTGAGCGACAAATGTTTAAAAACAGATATTACTGAGCTTATATTTTGTTTTATTTTATTTTTTGTTTATTGATTTTAGGGAGCGAGCAAGGCAGGGAGAGAGAGAATGAAAGAGAGAAACATCAGTTTGTTGTTCTACTTTTTGATGCATTTCTTAGTTGATTCTTGTATGTGCCCCGACCAGGGATGGAACTTACAACCTTGGTGTATCTAGACGATACTCTAACCAACTGAGCTACCTAGCCAGGGCCTGAGTTTACATTTTATATAGAAGTTCTGCATTATTATTTAGTCACTCAGTAAGTATTTATTGAATGCCTCATGTTCTTGGCGTTGTTTGTGGTCTTCAGGGAAGAAGGCATGCTGCCCTCATGGAGCTGACATTCTACAGGGGGGAACAGAAAATAAACAGAATAGTTTTAGGTAGTGGTAAGTGCCATGAAGAAAACAGGACCATGTAATGGAGAATGAATGGAAGTGGAGCTCTGCTATGCATTGGATGGTTAGAGAGGGCCTCTTTTTAGAGGTAATGTTTGATTTGCGTTTAGTGACTGGAAAGAATTAGCCATAGTGACAGTCTGGAGAAAGAGTGCTGCAGACAAAGGGAACAGCAAATGTGTTAAATTGGGTTTGATTCTGGAAAATCTGCAAGTGAAACTGTTTGGTTTGTCTGTTAGGCTTTTTCATAATTGCTGATAGACAATTTAAAAAGAAAAGTTAAATATATTTTATGTGTAGCAGCCAAATGTAATGTGTTGACCTTGTTTAAATCCTGACTCAAACCAATAAAGAAAGTTATTTTTAAAACATTTTAGGGGAAATTTGAATGTGGATGGGTGTTAGATGATATCAGGGAATTATTGTTAATTTTATTAGGGATGATAATGGCATTATGTTTATGTAGGAACATGCCCATGTTTTTTAGGGGTGGAGACTGAAAAATGAGGAAGAGAAATAAGATGTCCGGTATTTGTTTTAAAATACTTCAGAGCAAAAACAGGAGGGGGAGATGAGATAGATGAAGCAAGTGTGGTGTAATCTTGATAATTGTTGGGTCTGGGTGATAGGTATGTGTGTATTAACAATGTTGTCTGCTTTTGTGAGTTTTAAAAATGTTCATGTTTAGAAATGTATTTAAAACAATGTATACCATTTATTTAACAAATATGAGTGTTATATTTCAGACACTTTGTCAGTGTTTGAGTTAAAACAAAGAGCAGGACCTTTAGGCCTGCCTATGAGGAGCTTGCAGTTTGCTGGAGGAAGCAAGAGTCCCTTAGTTTGTATTGTGTTAACATGAAAAACAGATTTTTGTGGAAGGTGTAGTAGCTTAGTGTTTATGTGTTTCCTTAGAACGTATTTTTATTTTTCTAGAGAATTAAAAGTTTAAGAAATTCTATATGAAGCTAGCTATATGCCAGTCTGGGTCACTGTTGTAGCAATTGCCCTTATTCATATGTACTGTAGGATATCAGAATAAATCACTTGTTTTCACGATCTTTTCACATCCCAATTTACCATTATTTAAATTTTTATTTTGAAATGATGTCAAATGTAAAGTTTAAAATAGTACTGACAACTCTTAAATAGCTTATACTCAGATTTACTAATTTTTAACATTTGCTACATTTGCTTTCTCATTCTGGATCACTTTATTTATTTTTATTTTTTCAGTAAAATTTTTTTTTAATCCTCAACCGAGGATATCTTTTCATTGCTTTTAGAGAGAGGAAGGGAGAGAGGAAGGGAGAGAGAGAGAAGCATCAATGTGTGAGAGAAACATCGATTGGTTGCCTCCTGTACCAGGGATTGTATGTGCCCGGACCGGGTATCGTACGTGACTGGACCAGGGATCAAACCTGTAACCTAGGTATGTGCCCTGACCCGGAATGGAACCTGCAACCCTTTGGTTAAGGGATGTACTCCAACCAGCTGAGCCATACCAGCCAGGGCTCTGTATCACTTTAGAGTAAATTGCATATATTATGCCAAATTCGTCTCTAAAAATTCACTGTGTATCGCATTTTCTTGCATTATCACAGTTACATTTACTAAAATCAGAAATTTAACACTGATAATATGAAACCTTAATCCATAGACCCTATTCCAGTTTTGTAAATTTGTCTCAATAATAGCATTTGATTCTTTATAGCATTTTCCCCATAGGATCCAGTCCAGATCTCAGATTGCATTTAGTTGTTGTAACTTAGTTGCCTTTTATCTGAAATAGTGCCTTAGCCTTTCTCTTTCATTACCTTAACATTTTTGAAGGATATAGGCTATATAGTTTATAAAATATTCTTCAATTTGGATTTGTCTGATGTTTCCTGATAATCAGATTCAGATTAAACATCCTCAGCCAGGAATTTTGTATTCTTTTCAAGGTATGATACAAAAGCATGTGTCATTGGTCTATCCTTCATTGGTGATGTTAATTTTTAATTACCTGGTCACAGTGTTGTCTGGTTTCTTCACAGAATAGTTATTATTTTACTCCTTGCACCTAATAAACAATCTATGAGAGTAACTTTGAGATAGCGCGGATATCCTCCCTCTAGTTAGATCTGTATCCTCATCAAATTTGCCTCCTGAATTTAGCATCTATTGATGATTCTTGCCTGTACTGATCTTTCCTTTGATGGTTGCAAAAAGGTTATTTTTCTAATTCTTCAATGTCCTCTGCCTTATCAGTAGGCATTCTGTTGTAGGAAGAAGCATCCTTTTATCTCTATTGTCAATATGGATATATGTACTTCCTACTTTATTCAGTGGGTTATAATCCATTATTGCCTTTATTTTTTTTTATGCTCTGGTTGTCCCAGATTTGCTCAGTGGGTGCCTCTTCACCCTGGCTCCATGTCTTTTTGACATGTCTTAAATTTTTTTTTGAGTATTTCCTTTCTTTCTGGTACATCAAAATGTTCCAAGTTTTTCTTGATCCTTTCTGTCTCAGTCCTGGAATCAGCCATTCTCCAAGAAGCCTTTCCATTCAGTGGGAAATCCAACTTGCTTTTGAGTTATCTATTTATATATAGCAATGATCTCTTCTTTCCTGGATCAGGACATCCTCTGAGAAACTAAATTTAAATTAGATTTTGATAGAGGGTTTATATTTCTATGAAGATTTTGTTTATGAGGTAGTAATTACGTAAGAGTTAGCAGTTTATTATATTTTCCAAAAAGCAACTGTTTTTGTTTACTTTTTTGTTGAATTTATTGAGGTGACATTAGTTAATAAAATGTATAGGTTTCAGGTGTAAAATTCTATAATACCTCTGTGTGTCATGTTGTGTGTTCACTACCCCAAGTCAAGTCTCCTTCAAAAAGCAACTATTTTATTTTTCTACTTCCTTTTTCAAATAAGTGATTCTGATTTGTTCTTAATTGTGATCAAGTGAAATAGAAGGAATAAAATAAAACGGTTATTTTACCTAGTGTGTGTGGGGGGGTTGTTTAGAGGAGGGTTTAACCACTTAACTGTTAAAAAAAAGACTTAAGATTTACATACTTAGAAGTGTTTTTATCTTAAGACTTTTTGGTCAGAAGGAAATTTTTGCTTTTTAACTAGCTTTGTAGATGAAATCTTTTTATTATA